AGCCGTGCAGTGAGTGAGTGAGTGAACCAGAGAACATATCTCCCAGGAGGGCAGTTTACAATGCACCCTGGGGGCAATCCCCAAACACAATAAAATAATTATAACAATACAACATAAAATAATCACTGAACAAACTTATGTACAATCAAGGGGCAAATTAAAATAAGGTAACTTAATGGTAAGCATGAACTGAAGTAACAGAAGAATAAGCGGTCCAAAATAGGCATACTTTGCCCACTCAACTGCACATATCAGCTGATGATAAGGCTTTAGAAACGTTGCTTCAGGCAACATGTGCAAGCTTTGGTCAGGTACATAATTCCATATTCCACGTTGTCTGTTTCTTTCTTTCTTTCTTTCTTTCTTTCTTTCTTTCTTTCTTTCTTTCTTTCTTTCTTTCTTTCTTTCTTTCTTTCTTTCTTTCTTTCTTTCTTTCATAAACGTATCTTCACTGTACTTACCATTAACGCCTGGGCCCGGATGTTCAGCTCGCGAAGCTGTGAGAAAGACGGGAGATAACGTCAAACACAAAGTTCACAACATAAAAAAGCGGGAAACATTCATTAGAATTCTTAACGTGCCTGTCATGACAGTAGCACACGTTCCTTGTGTGTGTTCTATGGGATATCTGTGATGATGTGATGACACCACATGTACCCAGTAACTGCCCTGGTATTGTCCTGATAAGACACATATTGGGAAGAAATTGGCCCCAATACGCGATGTCATTATATTCTGTTTGTCGAAATACTAGTACTAGTAGTGCAATAATGGGGCAATCATTGAGTGACCCTTTTCCAGTGTCTACAGGTGTTTTGAAGAACCCCCTAACAGGTGGCCGCTGTTTACAGATCTGTACAGGTAAAAACGGGGTCTGTTTGCTGAGTACTTTTATGCGACGTTTATACACAGGACTACGAGGGCTTCACAAAAAAGGACTTCAAGAGTCAATTGCTTGAGAAGTTGAAAGCATTTGCTGATATGTAAATCTGCTCTTAATACACTTCTATACAGGCGTGTCGAATAGTTAGCTAAGATAACAGGTCAAAGGTCCGATGTGGGGTCGGGCTATCCTGTCAATAATTCTGTTGTCAGGTATCTTGTTGTGCCATTTACGATAGCTCGTAGATTATTTTCTGGAATGTGTCTGCTGCGTTTAAGTACACCGGGCCTTGCTGTATCGCGTCGTAAATGCCCTGACCTTTCCTTACATAGACATTGGGCTCCATATATTTCCCTTCTCCATTCACTTCTATCGTTCTTCACTTCTACTATACTGTATCCTGAATAAATGGTGGAGCAAGACCAATAATGAAGACCCAAGGTCACTGTAAGGTGCTGAAATGCTTTCCTTTAAAATTAATGAAAGAAGTCATTTAAAGTAAACTCCACTGAAACTAAGTTTATCTTAATGATGGAACCTAAGCTAACGTCAAATGTTTGTCGAAGCACCCATAAGAATTGTAACTCGATTGGGATCTATTTGTCAAGTATATATACTATACTACATGTATGATGTAGCACATCGTAGTCGACTGGCTTGCCATGGCAGCCTTGCCATACAACAACGTACCCGGATGGTGCGACGACGTACTCGCAGCTCCAAACGTCAGCACGAGTGAGGAAGAATGAAAAACTGTGAGTCTAACGCACAATTCTGTCTGCTCACCTGTGGGTTACTTTAAACATTTGTTATAGCGGGAAACACCCGCTCTAGCCCCTTGGTACGGGGAAAATGTCGAGGAAATCGTGCCGGCTACAACATTAGATTATAATTATACTAAAACAACGTAGAAACATAGAATAACGTTTCCAAAGATTTTCAATGGCGTGTTGTTTTAATATACAAAACCTGAGTTATCAGACTGGAACACTTGAACCCCGCTGGGATTTTAGGTGTGATAAGAGGATTGTTCTGTCGTATGTGCTCCACTGTGTTACATCTAACTTGGTCAACTCCACTACACGCATAAACGACGGACTGTTTTATGACAGACAACAAAGCTGGAACTGAGATAATGTAGCCTCACCTCCAGTCTCCCCTCTAAGGACTCAACTTTCTTCATCAGCTCGTACACCTTCTTTTGTGCGGCCTGCAGTTCCGAGTCTTTCTCCTGGATCTGCTTCCGTAGCTCCTCCCGTTCCTTCACGCCCGCCACCCAGTCCTGTGCCGCCTGGTCCAGCCTTTCCCGCTCGGACAGAGGCGCGTCCTGCCCCGCCGAAGGCTCTCCCGCGTGCCCGTTCGTCAGGTCTGCTGACATTTTTTTCCAGCAGGGCGGTGTATCCACAACAGGCAAGATGTTTTCTGTATCAGTAATCTTCCGTTCAGTGCTCACGTCACCCTCCAATGTGCTGAGACCTAAGACTTACCTCCTAAGAATGGAGGCGACTACAAGGCTTTCAGTCTTGCCGGACTAGACTCAGTCCACTGCTACCTCTGTACAGATAACAAGAGCCGCTGGAACAGTCTTCACAGATGAGCACAGGTGACAATTACTAGTACTAGTATTTCATCCACCAACGAATCAGGACACAGAGTATCTGAAACGGCCAGAACAGACAGATTAGTTAGTACCACAGCCTGATTCAATGCCAGAGGAAATGTGTCTCAGTGTCTACAATACGCCGACAGGTGTGTCTGTATCAGTACAGCAGCTGACCTGTGACCCGCATGCGTCAATGTTGATGTGGGATATATATGATATCGGTTAAACATTACCTTTTTATATCTGAGAAATCCAGAGAGTGTATGATAACAACCCGGTGTGACTAACAAAGTAACAGTCATCCCTTGAATCGCCGGACTGCGTATACAAACGGTTCAAGCTCAGCCCTGATTTTTACCTCCATGAAAAATGGAGGTATTGTTTTTGGCGTGTCTGTCTGTATGTCTGTCTGTCTGTGTGTGTGTCTGTCTGTCTGTGTGTGTTTCCGCAACTTTGTGGTCAGCATAACTTCAGAACGCTTTTATGGATTGCGATGATATTTGGTGTGCTGGTAAGTCTTGGGAAGACAAAGGTCAAGGTCAAATATGGGCCTCCTGGTGGATGACCTTGGTACTGCAGCAGAACTTCCGGTTTTTGTATCTTTTGTCCTGAACAAGCTATGGTCTTGACTTTTTGGTGACAGATAGCTTTTCCTGTCAGGAATAAGTGGTGTGAGTTTGGTCCCCCTAGCAGCTTGTTCTGGAACTGCAGGGCACTTTCTGGTGAAATGTTTAAAAGCCAATAAGTCCAGATAGGAATAACGTATATTCATCATTTTTGGTGTGTAGGTAGCTGAGAGAGAGTTGTACATAATTAGATGCAAATTATGCAAATGAGGACTTAATTTGCATAATTAATGAGAAAATGCTATAATTACAGTGTTTTATGTAATAGTACTTTTATATATGTAATCTACTTAATCTGTGGCAGGCGGAACATCAACAGATACCAATTATGCAAATGATGACCTAATTTGGATAATTAATGTGAAAATTCTGTGACTCCTTATTGGCAAATGATGGGACTTTTATACCTTGTGACATGTGTAAGTTACTTAAAGGTTAACACCACTATGCATATATTATGTTAATGTGGAGGTCACTTGCATAATTAATGAGGGCATGTTGAAATGTATGACAAAGCAAGCTCATATTTCATGGAGGTATGAGATCTCTGAACTCTTGTTCCAATTTGTGTAGGGCAATGTTTACATCTGCAGGGAAATGTTGTGAAATTGACTGATAAATTTTCTCTTACAGACTCTCGCAGTGCTATTGGCAATATTCAGGCGGCCACTACCTTGGTAATCGTGCAGAGTATTACTGGCTGGTTTTATGCGAGGTTGTGAAGTTGTTAGCTTCCGCAGGATGTTTTGATATTTGTACACAGCCTGCGTGGGCAAAGGATTGACCGGTGTGACGCGACCCAGTTGTACTGTGATTCTACCGCGTCAACCCTTCCTGTTGTTCTCTAACTCTCCACGTGGAAGTAATGAAAACGAAACGTACAATTAATAATAGCCATGGCGTATGTGGCAAGTAAGGTGGAAAATATTTGCCTGTAAGTTTAACGATAGACAGTGACGATGATACTGGATATTGTCATCTTAACGTCTGGATGAACATTTAAGTTAACTGTAAGCGATTTTCCAGCGTGCTTTTGTTGTATTTCGCTGTTTAGTTGGACCCGACCTTTTTACCTTTCAGTCCAACTGACCCGATATTTAAACCTGTCTCCATCATAATGTGTGTGTCATCCATGTGGAAACGCTGTGTTGTA